TAAGAGAGAAAAGAAGGCAAAGGAAAAGGAGCAACTTGAACAGGAAAAGAAGGTATATCTTCTGTTCTGTGTATTTCGTTTATGTTCTGTTATCAGTGATGATTGACTATCTCTCAGGGATTTACCCCGTCTTTGCGTTGCAAGTGAAAGTGTACGTTTTTATGTTTTCGTGTTCATGAGTTTTGTCCCGATTGGATGTGTACAGGCAGCAGCAGTAGCTAAAAGGCAAATGGAGCAACACAATTTACCTGAGAATGATGATTTGGATCCTACTGTAAGTACCTCTACCATTTTGTTGAAATTATCCCGCGATGAGCATGAGATTTCACGGTGTGATAAATGGTTAAAAATTGAATTTTTTTGGTGGCAGCAATACTTGGCGAACAGATTGAGGAACATTGAGTCGTTGAGAGAATCTGGAATCAATCCATATCCACATAAGTTCTTCATTACAATGTCTATTCCTGAATTTATTAGCAGATATGCTCATCTAAATACTGGAGAGTTTCCTGAAGACATTGATATGTCCTTAGCAGGTGCTCAGGTTATGATTTCCGTTATAAGTAATTGATTAGAGTTTGAAATTTAACAGTTTTTATTCGTGTTTGTGTAGGGAGAGTGATAAGCAAGCGAGCATCATCGTCAAAACTCTATTTCTATGAACTGCTTGGTGGTGGGGCGAGAGTACAAGTACTGGCTAGTGCAAGGTACATCGAGTTGTTTGAGCTTAACGAGTGATGAAATGATGACATTCGATAAAATACTTACTTATTTCTTCGATTTAAGTTATGTTATCACTAATGAAAATGGCGTAGGGAACACATTTGATCCAACTACATCTCATTTATATATGTTGAGTAGGGATTCTGATGTGGATGCTGTTCAGTTTTCTAATTATCAGTCTGGAGTGAAGCGAGGTGACATCATTGGTGTCCGCGGATATCCTGGTTAGTCCTTTAAAATCCAATTAAAGAAAGAAAACTAAGATTTTTTGAGGCACTAAACTGCCATTCTGCTGCAGGAAAGAGTAAGAGAGGAGAGCTAAGTATCTTTGCAAAATCTTTTATAGTTCTAGCCCCTTGCCTACACATGTTACCGAGGCGGCTGACCTCCTCTATCGTAGATGAAACTCGGACACAGGTGAAACACCCACAACTATAAGGATACCTATCTTATGTTTGTCCAGTAAATATTACATCAATGATTCATAATACATGACTCAAAGGAGTTGTTTGTTTACAGAATTTCCAAGGAACAACAGCTTATGATACTTGGACTCCAGGAGATCTGAGAAACCCCGAGTCTTATGTGTTAAGGGATCAGGTATGATCATATCAAGAATCTGGCTTTTCAAATGTGAAATCGAAGACCCTTCCCACCCCAGTTACAGACCAAGAAAGGATAAAAAAGGGTAGCCCGGTGCACAAAGCATCCTACGTTAGCACAGTCCAGGGAAGGGACACATCCCAAGGGCTGTGATGTACACAACCTACCCTATCACAAGCATTAGTGTTTGCATCCACAGCTCGAGCTTGTGACCTATAGGTCATACGAAGACAAAGAAGGGATACAATTAAGAGCGGAAAAAAGGAGAATTTCTCAATAGTATTGGAGTACCATACTTGGTTTATCTGGTGTCCAGCATCTAATTACAGTATTCTAATTGTGATACATTGTGCATTTCAGGAAACTCGGTATCGTCAAAGGTACTTGGATCTAATGATGAATCCAGAAGTTCGAGCTTTGTTTAGGACTCGCGCCAGAATCATTTCTTACATCAGGAGTTTCCTCGATAATCTTGAGTTTCTGGAGGTTTAATTCTACAAATAGCCCTCCAATGCTGACTTATTCTTCTGATTAATCTGTTCTTTTCTCACTCAGCTTTCTACTTGTATTAGGTGGAGACTCCTTCTATGAATTTGACAGCTGGAGGAGCTTCAGCCAGACCATTTATCACTCACCATAACGAGTTGGACACAGAACTCTTCATGCGTGTTTCCCCCGAGCTTTATCTTAAGAAGTTAGTTGTTGGTGGATTCGACCGTGTTTATGAGCTGGGGAAGCAATTCAGGAATGAAGGAATGGATTTAACTCACTCTCCTGAGTTCACAATGTGTGAACTTTATATGGCTTACGCTGATTACAACGATTTGATGGATTTGACAGAGCAGCTACTATCAGGCAAGCATCTCAGATAGTTATCTAGACTGCTTTTTGTCTTCAATCTCAATTTGATTTTTTGCATGTTGCTTTTAGGTATGGTGAAGGAACTAACCGGAAGCTATAAAATAAGGTACCATGCTAATGGCTTGGATAATGAACCGATAGAAATTGATTTCACTCCTCCATTCAGGTATGTTTAATATGTGACTAATGATGTAAAACCTCACCTTCCAGACTAGTATTTACTTAAATGTTTGGAGTTTCTGTTGTTTTTTAATTGCAGAAAGATTGATATGTTGTCGGAGTTGGAGAAAGTGGCTAACATCAGTATACCTAGAGATCTATCGAGTGAAAGTGCTAACAAGTACTTGGTAGATGTATGTGAAAAGTTCGATGTCAAATGCCCTCCACCTCATACCACAACACGATTACTCGATAAGGTCACTTCCTACATTGCCAAAGCATACTGTTGTCTTTACTATATCTTATTGATGTACTAATACCACCTGTGTGATTGTTTCCCAGCTAGTTGGTCATTTTATTGAAGTAAACTGCATAAATCCCACTTTTATTATCAACCATCCTGAGATCATGAGCCCACTGGCTAAATCACACAGATCAGAACCTGGTTTGACTGAGCGCTTCAACTTATTCGTTAACAGAAGAGAGGTACTATTTTATTTTTTCGACGTTTACCTTACCCTGTAATCATCTCATCCTGTTTCATTTTTCTCCAGCTATGTGATGCCTATACTGAACTAAATGATCCTACAGCACAGAGAGAACGCTTTGCTGAACAATTAAAGGTATCTTTGTTACATTACCAATTAAGAGACTCGTTCACTTTTCCTGCTTAACTAACATTGTTTTTGTTTCGTTACATCAGGACAGACAATTAGGAGACGACGAGGCAATGGATTTGGATGAATCCTTTATAACTGCATTGGAGTATGGATTACCCCCTACTGGTGGACTAGGCATGGGGATTGATAGACTTACAATGTTGCTTACAGATTCACAAAATGTCAAGGTTTAGTTAACTCTAATTCTTAAAAGTTTTAAAATGTAAACAACAGATGTCTATTCTTACTCTACATTTTTTCTCTGTATTATCTTCTCAGGAAGTTATCCTCTTTCCAGCCATGAGATTACAATGAAAGAATATAACAAGTGGTTCGAGCAATCGCGTGTTTTCTCCTTCATGATCAAGTTTGATTGAGCAATTTTAAATAAGAACTTTCATAATTAGTTCCCAGAATTTGTTTAGAATTTTCATTTACTTGTATCTCAATGTAAAATATGAACTCAATGTTACTATATTAAAGATTTTACTTCTTTTTGTTTCTGAGAGGAAGTGTTCCATTGTGGTGGACAATGTATCCATCTCTTAAAAAAGTATAGTTAAATATCAATATAAGATAACATGATCATATATTTTAAAAAAATAATTTCACTTTTTCTCGTTATTTTTGTATATCAAGATATAAAAGAGCATTATTTTTATGTTTTTACCATCAATATTAATTACTTATTCCAAATCATTTCCAAACCTAGACTATTCATCAATAAATTTCCAGTACAGATTACCTATTTTTCTTTTTTTAAAAGTCAAATCTATGAATTGATTGACTGGATTTTAATTTTTCACCAAATAAAGAAGATTCATTTTGTTACACGTTTGACTCGAAAAGGATAATTCAAAAAATTTATGGACTTGGAAAGATAAATAAATCTAAAGTATTCTATTTTAAGAATACCTACTTTTTCAAAAAAATTTACCCCAAAAAGAGATTCCCAATTAGTAAAGCAATTAATATTATAATAATGGATATTTAAAGGAAAAAACTATCGTGTTTATACTTAACTCATGTAATTTTTATTATTATATAATTTAATAAATTAAAATACATGTTAATAAATTAAAATTAAATAAATTAATAATAAATTTAAATAAATTGATGAAATATTCAATGCGAACAAATTTTATCCATATTCAAGAGATTCTCTATTTAGGTTAATTATTATTGCCTTATTTAGCTTTCCAAGGTGCTTCTACGTTGCAATATTATCTTCCATACAGGCATCACACACCAATTTTTAATTTCTTTTAATAAAAAAAAGCTACCCTACAATTCCTACTTAGCATTTATAATTTGTACTTATTTTATGAATTTTTTTAGATGATATATGTACGTCTCTTTCAATTTGTTTTACTTTCATAAAATTTTGAGATTTAATTCAACTTTTTATGTCATTAAATATTTTAAATTATTTAGTTACTTATTACTCTAATTTATAATAGTAAAACTTTTTATATTTCAAAATAGTATTTTGGCCAAATATTTAAAAAAAAAATTAAATTTATTGGATTTTTTCCCCTCAGGTACGTCAATTACTTTATTTTCCTATTGAATCATTGAACCAACCATAATTTGTTCTTTTAAAACACTATTGGTTAATTTTGATCGATTTTTCTATTGTAAATGTCTTCAATTGTATTCGAATTGTAATGATTTTGATTAAAGGAATGAAGACAAACCGTGTTTTGTTTTCTAATGTGTTCAAATGACTTAAGTAAAATGCAATTATTCTCGAACATTTTCACTATCAATTGGACTAATGAGTTCTGGAACAACATATGTATTCACTATTAATATCCACAAATATGATTCCACATCAAATAATGATTTTGTTTAAAGGAACAAATTATGGATGATTCAATAGGAAAATGACACGTATCTAAGAGAAAAAATCAACAAATTTAGGGATCTGTTTAGACTAGTATATTTTAATATTGATAGTGTGACGTGGATGATCAAACCAAATATTAATCAATATTCTTAATACAAACCTTGATTTCCGTGCCAACTTTATATCCTTCATTTTATTTTCTTTTTTCATCTTCATCATTCTGAATTTTCTCTCAGTTGAAGAGTCCACAGAATTCTTTTTTTTTTTTATCCATGAAAGTTCCACCAACTAAAACTCAAGGTCCGTTTTCTATTCAGAAAAATTAATCGCTTCATTTTAACGTTTTTTTTTATTTTTTGCTTCAAAGATAATACTGAATAATTGGGATTTGGTAACCGGAATTGTTTGATTATTTATTTTTCAGAACTTGGTAAGGAAATATAACGGAGAAAAAAAATGTGATTTTGGAAATGGGGTTTTTTTCGTTTGTACAAGTATGAAGTTGCAGGGCAAAAAGATACTATTTGATTTTTTTGCTTTACACTTTAGAATCTATGAATGGTGGAAAAAGCTTATATATTTGTAATTAGCTGTCAAATTTGAACCTAAATTAATACTTGTGATGTTGATCAAGTAATTTTGTTTGTATTTTGCTATTTAATTTGAGCATGTTTTAGTTACTTGCTGCTTCAGATTCTCTGTGTGATTCATTTGATTAAGGACTTGTGTTTTTTTATATGATGCAGAAGAAATGTATAAAGAGGCGAAAAGTTCCTATTTTGATCTACCAGCTTTGGATGTTTCTGTTGCATTTCCTCAAGCAACACCAGCGTCCGTCTTTCCTAATTGCAGTAAGATTGATTCTTACTCTACTTATTTTTGTGTATTTATACTGTTTGTTATTTGAAGAAAGAAGCTTGGTACACTTTTGAATATTGTTAGATGAGACTGCTTTGTTGGATGATAATGTTTGTGTTGATCGCTTCCTTTAAGGACTGAGTTATCTTTGTTAAGGGGCAGTTTGATATTCGAGCTGATCAGCTCTTGGTAACATTTGAAAAGATCATTTTTGTGGTCACAACGCTAGGGGTTTCACTAACTGGGATGTAAATTTTACAGCTTCGGACTATTATCAGCTTGATGATCTCTTGACTTCTGAAGAGAAAGCCGTCAGACTGAAAGTGAGAGAGTGCATGGAAAAAGAAATTGCTCCTATAATGACAAAGGTATCTGTATTCCGTAGTTTTCTGTATTTCCTGTATGTGTTAACTATTTAGTTGCAAATATAGTTAATAAAAAACAAAGATATACTCATTGTTCTCCCAACTGACTCAAATTTCTAAGTAAAAGGTTGAGCATCTGACCCTTATCTTGATTTGATTGTGCAGTACTGGGAAAAAGCAGAGTTTCCGTTTGAAGTTATTCCGAAACTTGGTGCTTTGAACATATCTGGTGGCACTATAAAGGTGTTTTTATATAGCAGTAGGAATTGGCAGATTTACTGTTAATGAGTCCTTCTCAATTTCTGTAACGCATGTATTTACTTTCTGGTTCAGGGGTATGGTTGTCCAGGTTTATCAGTAACTGGAAGTGCCATTGCTCTAGCAGAAATTGCCAGAGTAGATGCAAGCTGCTGTACATTCATTTTGGTGCATTCATCTTTGGCAATGCTCACTATTGGTAAATTAGTTTTATTATCCGAAGTTTCTGTCTGCACCATCTTTATTTATTTGGAGCTTTGGGAAGTTCAGTTGTAATCGTCTTAAATAACGATAGACAACTTCTTATACATCGATTTTCTTTCAACAATAGGACTATTGGGATCAGAAATGCAAAGGCAAAAATACTTACCATCTCTGGCTGATCTTAGCAGTATATCTTGTTGGGTAAGATGCTTGGTTAGCTGTTGATTTTGCATTAGCATCTGTTCTTCTATAGATAAGTAGTTATAATCTTAATCTTTTGGGAGTTAGGGTCTAACTGAGCCAGACTATGGAAGCGATGCAAGTGCTTTGAGGACCACTGCCACAAAGGTCTAGAATCTAAAATATAATCCTGGTTATTAATCTATATACTGTTCATCATTATTTTGTTCTTTTAGGGTAAGAGGCTGCTTAATATGTGCCCCTTCCCGTTCTTTTGCGGTCTGTAATGTTTAGGTTGAAGGAGGTTGGATCCTTGAAGGGCAAAAACGGTGGATAGGAAACAGCACTTTTGCAGATGTGTTGGTTATATTTGCCAGAAACGCAGCCACAAACCAAATAAATGGGTAAGTAACAGTATGCTTTCTAGATAATCAAGTCCACCACATCTTTCACTTATTGCAAGCATGACTTGAAACCATTCTGAAAGTGTCCTGTGATAAAAAAATTCAGTGTTTACTAGCTTTCACCATCTTGAGACTTGGGTTTGGTTTAGGACAAATGCTGTTATTTATATTTCTCTTAACCTTCTTGTAGAACAATTTGATTGTTACTTGTTCCTATACCCAGTATGGACTCTAGAAGTATAAGTATAATACTGAGTTTTGTAGGAGGTCACTTTGCTCGTACCCCCCTCTAACTGGAATATACATTCTGTATGTCCCTCTGCCCTGAACTTCTAATTTTTGTCTCAAAATCGGTTATTGTGTTTGTCTCAGTTTCATTGTACAGAAGGATGCTCCAGGCTTGCAATGTACTAAAATAGAAAACAAAATTGGGTTGCGGATGGTTCAGAATGGAGATATCCTCTTTAAGAAAGTGTTTGTTCCTGATGAGGATAGACTACCAGGTGTCAATTCTTTCAACGATACAAGTAAGGTATGTCTGTGATGCTTAATTGAGGTTGATGATGCAAAATGTGTGCATAGCCGCATATGCTTCTTTTACGAATAAAGCTTGAGCAGCAGCACCATCCTGAAGTTATTGTTAGTTTTATATACTAAAAGGTTTGTCACTAATGGTTGGTCCGACAAGGGAACAAGAATCAAATACTTACCATGTGAATTTAGATCTTAAACCTTAAGAGAATGAATTAATGTGTATTTGTAGTGATGCCAATAAAGTTACTTATATTCTTGAAAATACCCATCCTCCACCAAATGTACCAACCTCCTAAACAAGAAAAAAGAAGATTCATATTGGAAAAATACATAGCTATCCACAAAAAAGGAGGAAAAATGGATTTATTTTTACATTCATCTGATCACTATCTTTAGTTTACTAATGCATTTTTTCTTGCAGTTCAATTGTCATATTAATCAATAAAGCCATTGTTCTCATTATAAAAATTTCCTATCTGTATTCCCAATAATCCAAGCATGCTCTTTGCCATTCAACTTTCTTGAAGTTCTTTCATTTAAAATTCTTTCCTTTTTACGTTATTGTCAATAATTTGCTACGTCAATTACTGAAGTAGCTGAAATTGTCTTGACAGTCTAAACTTTGTTCCTTGAATAGGTGCTTGCTGTATCACGTGTCATGGTTGCATGGCTGCCTATAGGCATTGCAATGGGTGTATATGATATGTGTCACAGGTAGTAGTTTAAATTAGATAACTTGTTTTATTTTGCCCCAACGATATTTAATTAGTATACTGCATGCACTTTGGTTTAAATGACTTCAAATTAACTCCTGCTGGGTAAATAGGGAAAGTTCATTTTTGATGTTGCTATTGTCTATGATGTCGTTTTGATAAGGATTTGAGGAAAAGAACTAGGTTAGGACTTGAAGAATAGTTGTTGCATCTTTTATTTTTCATTCGTCAACATATAATCTGTCATGAAATTTATTTACTTCACAGAAATGCAGGGTAAGGCTGCATAAACTAGACCTTTGTGGTTGGCCCTTAGCAGGAGCTTAGTGAACCATGCGTCTCTTTTTTTTGTCAACTAGAACAGTCAATTTATAAGAAATCTAGTTCATTGATTCTCTCAATTAAATACAAAGGGGTCCTAGAAGTTAGTAGCTTCTATTTTAGAATATCTTTACCCTGAAGCAGGTTAGAAGAACTGCTGTTAGCATTCTGTTGTACCCTTCAGTCTTTTGTCCAATTCTTTTATATAGTGTTATGGTTACCTACTTCAACATTTCTATGGGCTAAATCATTTTCTAACTTTAAGGTATTTAAAAGAGAGGAAACAGTTCGGAGCTCCATTGGCTGCTTTCCAGTTAAATCAACAGAAGCTTGTTCAGATGTTGAGCAACATTCAGGCTATGCTTCTTGTTGGATGGCGTCTTTGCAAGTTGTATGAGAGTGGTAAAATGACTCCCGGTCAGGCTAGCTTGGGGAAGGTAAAACCTTATTCTGCAGATTTTTAAGTGGTTATGGATTGATCTTTTGCACTGATTGGCATATCGTTTGTTCTAGTCATGGAATACCTTGAGGGCTAGAGAGACCGTTTCTCTTGGACGGGAATTACTTGGTGGTAACGGTATCTTGACCGACTTCTTAGTGGCAAAGGTTTGTGAATGAACCTCGCTATGCTTACTTTCCTCCCCAAATAGATGCAAACACAGGATACCTTATATTCATTTTTTTTACTTGTATGGTTGTGTAGATCTCATCTCTGCTGAACCTTACTTATTGTGATATTGTTTCTCCATATCTGTTTATGTCTGTAGGCATTCTGTGACTTGGAGCCCATCTATACGTTCGAGGGTACCTATGATATCAACACTCTAGTAACAGGTAGAGAAATTACAGGTCTTCCTAGCTTCAAGCCAGCACCATTGAGGCCACAGAGTCGTCTGTAAAATGCTTCAACCATCTTCCTATTCTCTGGAAATTGTTCTGCTGAATTCAGTGCACATTAGAATACTTGTGCAAAAAAAATTGAACAAACTTGAGGATGTTTAATCTCTTCTAATTTCCAGGATCATTATCATAAATAAGTCTGAGAATAAAGTTAACATTGTTATATGTGAACATGTTCATTATTGCGTATTGATTTGGCTATGCAAGCCAGTATCTGCAGTTATCTTTCTGATTTATATGAATTTTCTTATTCGAGATTTTTAAAAACTCACACCAATTAGCTTGCATTCATATTACATTATTTAGATACAAATAATAAGAGATTTCCAAATAATATATAACAATCATTAAAACAATCTGTTAAAAGTTTTGATGATTATAGGTATGGATGGATATGGATCTTAAATTTTGATGTTAAGTATTCAGGCTAAATTGCAGTGCAGGATATAGAAAATTAAGGAATAATTCACAAGTATTTTCTCAATCTATGTTCGACATTCAGACACACACTTATAGTAAAAAAGAGATGGTAAATTATTTATAAAATAAGTTCAGTGGATAATATAACCTTAGTATAGTATAACGTGTCTTTGAGATTTCGAGCATAGGTTGAGAAGGTACTTGTGCATTTTCTAAAAAATTAAGTAATATAGAATTGATTTTCGACCTTTTTACACTCTTAATACTATTTCCTCCGTCTTTATATGATAATTTTTTTAAAATCAGTACCATAAAGAATGATATATTTTTACGTGTAACAATTTAACTTGATTACGCTTATTTTATAACAGGCCCCTGTGAAATTTTATTTTCACAATGCAACATTTTCTTCTCAAAAGATTCGGAAAAATAGAAATATTTATTTCCGTGATGCAGCATATGTTTTTTTTTAGAAAAAAAAAAGGTAATAATATCGGGGGAAAGAGGACACTTGACATAACTGCTAGTTGTATTCCATGTCTGGATATTCATACTTTTGACTAGATGAAAATCTACAATCATCAATTCCTCAATCAGGATGTAAACATTATTGGGATATGAACTTAAATATAGCCTTATTTAAGTCAATTTTTACCTCAGTCCCAAACAAGTTGGGGTAAATCAAAGTAAAATATATATTATCAGTCATGTTTCCTTTACTATAAGGTTTTCTGATATTTGGTTATAACACAACAATGCCTGCTGCTCCTTCCTTGGTCCCAGAAGTCCTCCCAGTTCCCGAATTCTTTGATGGATTGGCTTAATTCAGGGGTTCAATAGCAGTCAGGTTCACGAAGAAAAAATGTCTCACGGTTCTGGATATCTACTATGATATGGTGCTCAGACTTACAGCAGTCCACACAATCGAGGTCTTGAGCAGATTTGCCTTCCATTTGATTTGACTAATGCCATAATTCCAGCAGTTACACCAGCGCACAGTGCAGAGGACAAAATGGTATTTGTATTTCGTCCTGCTACCGAAAGTAGATGATGCTAAATTAGAATCTTGAGAAATGAAACTATAACATAAGACTTCTGCAAATACTCGGGATACTGACAATCTTATTCAGTTCTATTAAAAAATGGAAGTAGAAAATGATACCTTGGTGAATCGTGATGGTGGTCACGGTCAATCCACCAATTAAAAGTGCTGATGCTACTGGTAGATACTGCAATGATTTGTTCACATGTTCAATAATCAGTCCAACAATGTGTTACAAAAGGATAGGTAATATGACCAGGCTAAATTACTGCAACAATTTAGTAGTTATTTAGACAAGTAACCACTTGGTATGGGTTTACGCTTTTTCATTATAATATGGTCATTGATACTCATTTTCTGGTCAATTGTTTTAACAAATTTGTACCACACACCAACACTACTGTGTAAAAGAAGCAATACTGTCATAGAGATTTAACTTCGTAAAAACAGATTGGTAAGATTCATGATTCTATGGGATGGGGAAGCCCGTCTATAATATAGGTTATTTATTTAAAGACCGTCATTGCTTACACTGAGTGAGTCGAATCCATTATTCTGGAACGGAGAGGGGCTGTCCCTGTTAACACTGTAGCGACCACTTATAAGGTCCGTCGCATCCTGCAAGTGCATGGAAAGTATATGGAGATTCACTAGCAATGCAAAGAGAAAAAAAAGAAAAGATCATTTCATAGTAAGATAATATCAGCAGCATACCTGGCGAATTCCATCCTGAAAATTGTTCAAGAAGTATCTTGAAATGGCACTCATCCCGTCTTGTATAAGTCCTGTCATAGTCTGTTTTCCATATCTGGTACATTTTTCAAAGTAAATTTAAAGTAGAAAACTGATGCTTTTGCGTTGATTTTTTTAAACCCAAAATAATTCGTCCATTACCTGACAAGGTCCCGTTTTAGAGCATGTGTTCCAGAATATTCCAGGCTTATTTCATCACCTTGCTCCACCCACACTGCAATATTATTAGGAGTATGAAGTCTAAATAGACAAAGATTACAAGTATGAATTTATTGAACACGAATGTTACTGAGTCCATACTAGTCTTAAAGATTTCAAAATCTTCAGTGAACATAGAAATGCACTCATTTGAAGAAAGTGCACCAAGTCTTTGGAGTTGAGAATCCAAAGATTTCCGAGCCAGGTAGCTCTGCACAAGATAACAGCAGTTTATAAAGGGAAAGTACAAGGGAAATCATCATATAAAATAAACAATATTATGTGCGTTTGAAGGATTTCAAGGACTCGTTCATGGATTAAAGAATAGATGTGCTTCCTCCAACCTGAGTAACATTTGTTCGATCTAGGCAGTCAATGCAGTTGGATCTAATAACTCCTCTCTGCTCTAATATAATCTTCTCGTCTGTGTCTATGAGAAAGTATCTGCTCAGCTGGATTAGTGAATTTTAGCAAGAAAAAACAGTATTATGGATATTAAACATTCTCAAATGGAAGTGTCTTTTCCTGGCAAGCAATTACACTGTTGGTCTAGTTTAATTCTTACCCATTTTTTTCAAAATCCTCTGCAATCTGATCATATAGAAGTTGTATGTTGTCAAAGTTTGAGCCTCCACAACAGTGATGAAAGTCAAACGACACATATCTAAGACAATGCACACAGAATCAAGAAATCAGTCATGAATTTGAGTAGGCAACACCTCAGTTTTTCAATGCAGTGCAGTAGGCACAAAATTGCTGAATTATTGATTGGAAAAAAGATTAAATAACTATATAACACAACAAACATTATCGCTAACTATAGAAACTATTCATACTATTCCAATCCTATAGTTCAATTAGAATGAACGATGGGAAATCAACCAGATGTCTACTGACTTAGATGATGACTGCCATATCAGAAGTTACTGGCCAACTCTTTAGTTACCACCTCTCTCAATCTTCTAACTTTGGGCATGTGATGGCAACTATCATAGAATTAAGCGTCAGGCAACTATTAAATTCTCAAGTTCTCTCTCTACCTTCTAACTGCAGTCACTATTGAACCATGACATGGAAATGATTCTACAGCCTCAGATAGAGAAAGGTTTAAGAGAGGCTGTCACCTCACACTTGACAGCTTTTGGATTTCTGTTGCATAAGCTGCACTTAATAGACCCTCATCACCTTGCTGCAAAAGGAGATATAATTAAAATAGTCAACACATTTGTAAATGTGAAGAAGTTATTATCAGAACTAGCTCCTCTAGCAGTAACTAAAATTGACAAGTGGTTTCATACGAAACAAATTACTATGAAATATGACCGCAATGTGAAATAGTTATTATCAGAACTAGCTCCTGTAGCAGAAAATTAGAATTGATAAGTGGTCCCATAAGAAACAGATTACTATGAAATATGACCACTTTGACGACTAAGAAATGAAATAATAGCTACTGTTTTGACACAAATTTCATCATTCATAATGATTTTGAGATATTTTGGACCGTAACATAATGCTTAAGATTATAGTAATTGGATTAGAGAAGAGAAAAAACAAAAAAACAAAATCTTTATTTTCCTAATATATTCAAAAAGGTCAATAAACATGGATACATGTATTGTTGAGCACGGAGACACGTATACTTTAAAACATTCTCCGATGTTGATACTGTAAAATGAACGTCCACATTATAAACATCAAATCAACTCAAAGAACCAAGTATCAGCAGAAAGCTATATACCTTGTTTGTCAGGTCAACTGCAACGACATGCCCATATCTTTGCAAGAGATCATGAAAATGGCGCTCCACAACTTTTGGCTGAACAACGGAAGGCAATTTCTCATAATACATACAGTAAAAATTTTAAATAAAAAAATAATTAGAATAAGTACATACTGTTTCCTCGTGATCGATAATATTAAGCCGTGGTTTATAGCTCAAATCAACAATTTGCTCCCACAAGAGTGGAATTGAACCTCGAATCTGAAATGCAGAAGAGATGATTTCTCAATGCTTAGAACATTGAAATTGTCAAAGTTGCCTCTGTTCTTTGTTAGCGCAAAGTGACTTCTCAAACATACACAATATCTTCAACAATGGAAAGAGGAAACTTGAAGAGTACATGAATATTATCAGATGAGAATAAACATGACTAATGTTCTTTCATGCATTTAAGATATATACATACATATACATATACATACATACATATACATATATATATATATATATATATATATATGTATATAAATATATTATAAGAAAGAGAGAAAGAGAGTGATATATAAGAGACAGAACTGGCTAAAGAGAGACAGAGACAGAGACACAGAGAGGGCAGACATAGAAGAGAGAGAGAGGGCAGATATAGAAGAGAGAGAACGGGCTAAAGAGAGAGAGAGAAAGAGAGCAGATATATAAGAGACAGAACTGGTTAAAGAGAGAGAGAGAGGGGAGGGGGGGATAGTAGAAGAGAGAGAGAGAG